TTCCGTATATCCCAATTAAATCGGCATCAGGTCATGATCTATGGGTAGGAGGTGCGGTTAACTTAGATTTTTTTGTAAAAAATTATAAATTCAATCATAAATTTATAGTCATAAATAATTTAAAAGCGGATATTATTTTAACGATTTTAATAAAAAACATAAATTAGAAGCAAATTTCGCAACGGAAACGATCAAGTTTCAGAAAAGCGGTAATACGCAAATAGTTTTTTTTTCATTAGCAGACAAAATTTGTGGTCCACAACCGTCGCCTATTCTAGGAAATCATGTTTACGCCGTTAATGAGGTTACACTCGCACCTTTGTCTAGTACAAAAATGTTTGTAAAATATAATGAGAAAATTGGGTAAGGGTATAAGTTTGATCCCGTTCAAAATTTGGTATTTTTGTTTAAATTAATGAACGGTTTTATCGACTCGCCAGAACTTGTGAGACACATTCCTTTCTTAATTCCTAGCTATCCCACTCGAGATCAATATCTTTTCCGGTTGCCCGCTTCTACTACTAATTGTTATTGTAACTCGCCTTAACCGCGATTGATGCATTGTTACAATCGTCATTGCTCGATGTTTGACATTTTTTATTCTTCGTTGGCGTCTTTCCGCAAGGGTATATTGAGTTTGAATATCTGTCATTGAATATCGGGGTAATTCGAGTTCAATCTGGCTTGTATTATTAATTAGAAACACTATTTTTATTTTTTATCTCTTTTTGTTGTTATATCTAGATTTTGTTATTTGTTTTGTTATGATACTAGGTTTTTATGATGTATTAATTTAAAATATGATGTAGGTAAAAGTAAAAACTTTTTGAGAAATACTAAAATGTTTAATTCAATTCAAGCAAACATGTTTCGAAACTAATGTTTCATCTTCAATACCTAAATTTAAGAAACAAGAAACAAATAAATTATAAACTTTACAAAATTTCCTGTAGTGAATGTAATAAAATTTATATAGGTCAAACAGGGAGAAATTTATTAATACGTTTTAAAGAACACAATAAAGATAAGCGTAATCCGGAGTAGGTAAGTTCATTTCGAAACTAAGAGCGCCCTTTTTAGGGTTTGTTCCTGCAACGGAAAGTGAGTTGTTGCCTCATATTTTAATCGGCAGAAATGCCTTTTAAATTTGGAAAAGGCACATCCGTATCGTGTGAAGACTTTAGCTTGCTAGCAAGCTTGGTCGAGACACACATTGTCGACAAGAACGGGAAGTTGGTTCCTTCAACTGGAAACCTCCACGTTCGATAAGTTCCGCCTCCCCCATGGAGGTGGCAACCGAATCGTCAAGTCGTCCGCCTTCCCAGTTGAAGGCGGCTACCAAATCCTCACGCTTGGTCAGTTCCGCCTCCCTCGTGGAGGCGGCCTGCAATCAGGCCGTCTGCCTTCCTCGTTGAAGGCGGCGACCAAAACTTCACGTTCGGTTAGTTTCGCCTCCCCAGTGGAGGTGGCAGCCAAAAAGTCAGGCCGTCTGCCTTCCCCGTTGAAGGCGGCGACTAAAAAAGCCCGCCCGGTAAGTTCCGCTTTCCCCGTGGAGACGACAGCCACAACGTCAGGCCGACCGCCTTCCGCGTTGAAGGCGGCGACCACCACCCAACCGAGGTCCTTCGCTGAGGCGCTGACTTCCGTCCCAACGGGTGAAATGGACGTCGATGTAGCAGTCGGCCCATCCAAATCCGCAGGGAAAAGGAAGGCGAGCAGCGACTTGGAGGAAGAATCTTCGGAGGCGGTGCGTCCCCGCATGGAACCAGTTTCCAAGCGGATATGTTTTAGATCCGATGAAGAGGGTTAAGGAAGATTTCCAGGAACCTCAAAAGGCCCGTGAAGTTCACCGTTCACCTTTATCATATGTTACCTTCCAAGATTTAACTAAAATATTGAATATTTTGATTTTGTTAAAATAATTTTTTGTATGTAAATTAAGTTGAAAGAAATTTAGATCCATTCCTAAACCCCACCTACTAACAAAATATTTTTCCATTATTTTGTATAATATTATAAGTAAGTTCACCTTTTCAAATTCCGATTTCTCCGTACCGTTATTAATACGTTCCGGTTAGCATTTGTTAATTTCTTTCTTGTTTGAAACATGTTTGCTTGAATTGAATTATACATTTTAGTATTTCTCAAAAAGTTTTTACTTTTACCTACATCATATTTTATTATATTAGAGAAATATGGAGAATTTCATCCCATGTATTAATTTGTTATTAATTAGTTATTTGATTTTGTTACATTTTGATTTCTTTTTTTTGTTATTGTATTAGAAACACTATTTTTATATTTTATCTCTTTATGTTGTTATATCTATAATTTGGTATTTGCTTTGTTATGATACTAGGTTTTTATAATGTGTTAATTTGTTATTAATTAGTTATTTGATTTTGTTGCATTTTGATTTCATTTTTTTTGTTATTTGTTACTGTTCGTATCCCGAATAAAAAAAAATAAAACTTGAAGAAAATGATAAATTAAACACAAAAATTCAATATTTAGAAATGTCAGCTAGGACTAAACAAATGTATTGAAATTATAAATAATACAATGAATAACGAATTGCACCCTTTATTACTAACCCCGACACAGTTAGTAAATGAGTTAAAAGTAATTCATTTGGATACAAATCATAAATTTCATTATAATATTACTCCTTCCTTTGATAAACAATGAAATATTCCAATATTGTGAAATATACCGTGAAATATCCTTTACCGACCAAGCTGAATGGTGCCCATATTCAGATCGAAGATATTCAAAGATATATTGCAAGCAATGACAATAAATTAACGACTTTTGACACACCCTGTATTGAAATCACTCAACAGGAAGTTTTATGTAAACATCAAATCGAGAAACAAAATTTGGCAAGATGTATCAGGTCGTTACGCAAAATTTAATTACGATGATAGATTATTATGATTGTAAAATTAAATAATCAAGAAAATTATGAAATAATTGATTTGCCATTTGGAGTTGTATTGTTGTTTTATTCAAAAGCTAAAGTTAGAGAAAAATGTAACAAGATTGTTAATCTCGTTGAACTACAAGGTACATACGTAATTAATCATAAAAATCTATGTGAATATGAAATTGAAGGAATTAGAAATTTTAAGAATGTTTTTTTTAAATTATCATAGTTAGTTGTACCCCAATTAACAAATAATGTAACTGTTCCTGAAAATCCAGAAATTGTATTGCAAAATTTAACTTATAAATTATAAAAATACAACGAATTCAATAATATTGTATATCATAATTATAATTGTTAGTGTCATAATAATTGGAGTAATTATAAAGAAAATAATAATGAAGAAAACAGAAAATCGAAGAAAGAAGATTGTCGAAATCCAGGAGGATCTTTCGACTAAGGGTTACTCTGCAGGGAGGATCTTTCGAAAATTGCTGACTCTGCAGTTTGCGAATAGAAAAAGGTATATAAAGCGTCGCATACGTTAATTTAATTTAAGTTCTTCAACTATTGTACTAAAGTGAACATCTGTCTGTTTAAAATAAAATAAATAAGTTCCTTTTTTAAAATCGGTCTTTGATTTGCGAAAAGAAAACTCGCGCATGTCCTGTCACGGTCGCCACTAAATGTCGCGAATCATAAAGCGGGATCCAGACCAACCGCGCCGCTCCGTGCCGCTCCGCGCCGCGCTGTTTAAAGTAACGCAGTTCGGCACGACGCCTTCGGTTTCGACAGAAAGCCGCGCAAGTTTGAGCAAGAACGCGCTGTTTTGTGCAGGATCGAACACGATCCGTTCGGCGTCGGTACATAAAAAAAAAACGATTGTTTGTGCGCATTTGGTTTGGACGATGTTTTGAGTACTCTTAACTTCCTAACCTAAAAGCCACATACATACATTTTAATATTGGTAGTCCCAGAAATGAGTGCAACTGAGTGGTCACACGAAAATATTGAAAAACTT